ACAGGAAACACTCAATGCAATGCTAATGTGCGGCTATAAACATGAAAGTGTGAATGTAATGCTGCCATGTGTGTTGCATCCTCTCAGTTATACAACAGTTTACACAACATACTAGTCTCAGCAGCTGATAGCAGCCCACCTACCATGCACACATATGAATACACACTCACACATATTGTCCAAGTGATGGTGCTCCTACCTCTCATTTCTGCCAGTCGTCCTTGGGCCGCTTGCATTTGTTCGTCTTTTAGCTCCCCTGGATTCTACTGACTCTCATTGGTTGATGATCCATTAGCCATCAGTAAGGTTGAGATTAGCTATCCTGACTCTCATCTGTGTAGGCTGATAAAGTCAATAGGTAGGAATTAGAAGGGCAGAGATCAGCAGCAGAAACTTGTGTTGCCCTCAGGATCCCCAACACTGCCTGCACGGGCATGAAACCCCATCAGAGCGGGAAGAATAGAGCACAGAGCCTACTGCCAGCCAGCCAGTCAGGGAATCACTGTAGTTAGGGAGCTCTGCTTCTATCTCTATCTCTCTCCCTCTCTCTCTCTCTCTCGCTCTCGCTCTGTATCTCTCTCTATTGGTCTCCCACTGTCTCTCAAACTCTCTTTCTGTCGCTTGTATTTTTCTTCATGCTGTTTTTTTGCCTTTGTTTCTACGCATTTCCCATTCCTCTTGCTTGGTTTGATTTAAGTTCTGCTCCTCTGTTGAATCCAAATCAACACTCTGACCTCTGCGTGCGTATGTCTCTCTCTCTTTCTGTTTTGCTTGCTCGCTCTTCCTGTCCCCAGTTGTATTGGTGATTGTGACGGTGTGTCATCTCCCAGTGGACAGCTGTGCCTCTTAAATCACAGCGCGCACACATACGCTGACATTCACGTATTGCTCTGGCAAGAGTTGAGCAAGACAAAATTAGATTGTGTCTACACAAATACTCAAACACTTCAACACACAGTGAACACAGTTGGAGGATGCCCGTTGCTGTGGCATGCTCTGATGATATTATGCATGAGCCGTGGGCAGAAGGGCTGGCAGAACACGCCCCCAGCACAGCAACACAGAACGCACGAATGCACACATACACATGCACACACGCACACAGCAGGATATTAAGCTGTTGCAGTTAATTTACATGATTTTTTCTGCATTTAAAGGGATTGACTGTTGAGCTTATATGAGCTCATGGGTCGCTTGAAGGAGAAGCAAAAAATGGACAAAGGAGGAGCAGGAAGAGATTAATGATCAAATCATTTTTAACGATGAATATGATTAAGCTTACAAGCTGACCTTGGCTTGTAGTGCCTTCCCTTGTATTTACCCTCCTGTCCATCCATATTTATATCCTTTCTTCCGCTGAAGGGCATGACAATTATTTTCATTCCGTCATATACAGTGAGCAATTAATGCACATGTGAAGATGCTTTAGAAAACATAAATACACATATAGGGACTTGCACCTGCGCACACACACAGACACTTTGCATCCACACTGACATGCACACTTGACTCCTACATAGTGAAATGCATCCTCAAATGTGTGATAACACCATTTTATTAGCTAAAAGCCCATATGGGTGATGTGTACAGACAGCATGTTGTGTTTGTGATGTTATGTCTAAAAATCTTACGCATCAAGTTACAAAAAAAGAGAGCGAGAAAAAAACCATGTTGTCAGCACAACATGATACAAACACTTATATCATCATACTATCATGTGCATATCCTGTGATGCATTTAATGCTCGTGGCATTAAGGCCCACTATGACTCTGCTATTAAGTGAAAACTACAAAGATGGTTTGCATGATTTGCACATGATCGTTTCTGTTAAATCTTACGGCTCATTCAGAGAGCTATTTGAGATTTGGCCACCACGGAGATTTAAAAAAAAAAAAAAGTTTTTCAGCTGTAAAGCAGTGAACTGTTGGATTAGTTTAAAAAATATTCATTAGTCAAGTCTCAATTTTGTCTCAACAAGAGTGCAGATGAGAGGAGAGGCCAGTGGAGCCTAAGTCTGATGGCATCCTTAACAACAGCCTCCTGTTCTGCTCATCCTCTGAATGTTGCTCAGCATCTTGACATGATCCGCCCCTGCATTGTGTAGCTGCTGTGGAATGCACCACCAAATTTGCAAATAACTACATCTTTCAGACAGCTCTGAGTGTTTGTGACACTTGTATGTGAGGTTATGCTTGTCCTAGAGGTGTTTTTGCTGTCACTGGGATGTGAACTGATGCATACACAATCAAAGAGAAAAACACATACACACTACACACTTGCTTGTCCTTGCTATAGAATGAACATGAGCACATACATGATGCACCCTTGCACGGATGGATTAGTAAGTTTATACAGTCCTTATTAGAATCCCAAATACCTGTAGGATTTAAACCGGTTGTCATCCCTCCCTGCCTGGAATTGTACTGATAGGAGATTGGTGATGGCGTGGATTTGGAGAGGATTTTATGTCTCTTCATCTTTGGACTCATAAACCCAGCTCAGGGCATAAATAGCCCCAAGTTCTTAAATCATACCTAGGGAAATTAAATGTTCTCTCATAGTACAGAAAATTCCCGAGCATTAGTGAGACAGATTTGGGCTTTTGCCTTTTTGTTCTGAGCCGACTTTCAGGTAGCAGCCAACATCCGTACGCTTTTAACCTCTAATACAGTTTGACAGAGTAAACCCCATGTACTGCTCATATTGGGTTTATGTTTCCATCCTTGCTTAACCGATTGTCCATCCTATACTTTATATTTGTAACTATATTTTAAAAAATGTTTTATCCTGTATAATCTTTATGATGAGTTGTGTTTTCACATCTTACATCTTCAAATTATTTTTATTTTTCAGGTTTTAGAAATCCCAATTTTTGTCTGACAATTTAATTAGACTTCCTTATCTGTTTTCCTTTTCAGTCACTATTTTCTTTCTTTTTACAGCTTTTTTTAGAGTAGATGATCCTGTATCTTTTATTGGCTAAATGATCTAGGTTCCCCCTGATTTTATACCATGTGTGTTTCCATTGCTGTTGCCCAGCATCTTAAATTAGCCTCTCCTCCTGGGTTTTCCATGTGGGTGTAGAAATGGTGGGCTGCTGAAAGGATCTGGCAAAGCTTATGACGGGATAATCTGCACCTGTTCCTCTGGGCAAGGGCTAAAACAGGCCACAGCAGCACCCCACTGCACTTAAACAATCACACGAATGCACAGTCACACTAAAAGAAGAGCAAACCAATGGAATATTTCTCACTGATAATGTTCTCTACACATGGCAGATCACTACATTTTTCATCCAAGTTTTCAGTATTTTATGTTTATAAGCTACTACTATTGTATTAATACTATTAGCTGTTTGTCTATGTGTCTATAGAACCAACATTAACATTGGTCCAATATAAGAATAATTATTAGATTATTATATTATACTATATTATACTAAATGTCCCACTGCATTATATTAATCATATGACAGTAAGACAACATTAATTTTTTTTTTACTAACATAACATGAAGAAATTGTTAATCTTACCCATTTGAAAGCTATTAATAAATAATAAATAAGCTATTCATAAGATCTTAAAGAAGTCTAAAAACATGATGTATAAATTATCAAATACATTTTCCAAAAAATACTAAATTAATAAATCCACAATTTTACAACAAGACTAATTTTGGCAAAACAAATTTAATTTACAGATGTGGGACATCCAGTTTGGAAATGAAATGGGTTCAAACATAAAATTTTCAGCTCCAAAAAAAAGGTTGGTCATGGCTTATAATAACATGACTCAGTCTTATCAGTTTCATTTTGTTGCAGTGTGAGGCAGTTTTTCCCAATTCGCTAGCTTGTTGCATGTATCCATGCAGGTATTTATTTTATGCTTAAGCATTATGTTTCTCATGTTTCTTAATTTTTTTTTGTTTGTGTGGTGTTTAAACTTCCAGTGCTGATTCTGCTTCTTATGTATTGCACACATCGGGGTTTTCTTTTTGCATTTTCCTTCATTTATTGTGAAATACTTTCATACAGCAACGTATAGCCCTTAAACAATAGTTAGTATTTCTTGCAATTTTTATAATTTCCCCTGTATCTACATAATAATAGGCCTATACCAGCTTGAAATACAGGTAGAAAAATGTCTGAATTGTCCAATCAATATGTTGGCCTTACGGTAATTTAATGTTAAATCCAGCCAAATGCTGCATTCTCTTCCCTTTAGTTTACTACCTGCGGCTGCTCCGCATTTTCTCCTGGAAAGACTTACAGAACCCAAAATCATGGCAAACCCCCTACTGAGAGAAAGCTAGGGTCCTCTGAGTCTTAGTGGCAGGGGGTAGAGGGAAAGGAGGGCGAGGAGGAGAGAAGGGAAGTTAAAGCCTGTGGTGAATGTGTCAGTCTTTTCTCAGCCAACTCTGAAAAAGCTGACACATTTAATGTTAGCGACTGTTTGGACTGTTTTTCCACGCAAGGAATTCTGGTCAGATCTGTGCATTTAGGGACCTGCTGGGATGAGGCTTATGGAAGTGAGAGCAGCTCTGTATACCAACTCTGGAAATGCCTGTCGGGATAACAACGGGGAGGCAGACTGAGGAATTGGATGGATTTCATGTGGGCACAGAGAGAGAGGTCTGGTTTAGAATCGTGTGAAACTGCATTTTGAGTGTGGTTAGCAGCATCTGTGAACATGTGTGCAGATGGTACTAGTATTACGTACACACACAAACACTTAGCCTTGCAGAAAAATAAGCTGACACATGTATGATGCAGGGTGTAATTTTTCCCTTTTTGACCAGAAGGGGTTTGCTGCAATGGAAGTGGATGTGTTCCTTCAGTTGGGGTTAATGAAAGAGGCACTGTGTGTATATTAACAATCTCTCTCTTGCCTGTAGGATGACTTCTGTTGTGATACAGATCACAGTGTACTTGCACTTGCTCTTGCACACACATGAACACACACGTCCCATTGCTACATCTCATTTGTTGTGCCTCTTTCAGCCGTGGGCATCCAGATGAAACTGGAGTTCTTTCAGAAGAAATTCTGGACAGCCAGCAGACAGGTACGTAGACATAAACACACATCCTACATGTTTACACGTTCATATTATGATACATATAACACACTTTTAAAACTATAATAACATAGCATCCCCTCTAACTACAATGCCTGCTAAAAGTAGTTTAAAACTCCATACAAATTAAACACAAAGGCAAGTAAAGTAAAAAAATATAATGCGTAAAACATTTATTTGCTTTCTCATAAAGCATCCTTGGTTTTATGACATTTCTGTACTTTGATAACAACTAATAAATGTCATAAGTATTTAATGACTCAAGCGACCATGAAAGTTTAAATTGTTTGGTGGATCTTTTAACACGTAAATCTGTTTCCTTCCATTTATCCATTTAAAGGTGATTTTGGAAGACAGTAAAGGTTTTCAACTGACAAAAGGAATCTGTGTTCTCGACCAATCAGTCTAAATATTTGCTGTGACACCCCGAGTATGCAGATTTTTATTTTTTATTTTCTTACAGTGTGCAGCATTAGATGGAAAATGCTCCATAAGCTGCGACGATGAGGTCGGTCAGCCTTCCTTTTCTCAATTATCCATCCATGATTCGGTCACTTTTACTTCTCACAGCTGCTTTAACACTTTGTTTTCTGTTTAACAGAACATTAACTGCTACCTGATTGACAACAACGGCTTCGTTCTGGTAGCAGAGGATTACACTCTGGTAAGACATCAGCACACAAAGAGACACACACACACAGAGCCTGGTATGGCAAGATCAATGAAAAGGATTGTATAATACTCTGTTTTATAGTTGTCATAGTTAGAGTACACACATTTATGTTTGTAATGAACATTATATAATATATTTCCTCAATTTCATGGATGTTGTTGTTTAGACTGCTCTCAAGGAGACATGGTGCTGCCCTAGCATACACCCTCTGCTTAGCTGTCACCAGACATACTGTCACTCTGGCTTTGGCTCATCTAGAAGCCAGTCCGCTGGCTGTCACTGTCCTTCCAGTTCTCTGCATGTTCTTTTCACGTGTCTCTCACTTGCAGGCTCCTCATTTTTTGTTTGATCTTAATTTAGAGGTGACGGAGCATTTAGGGTTCTACTTGTCAAGTTGTTTTATCTCTTTGTTGTTATGTAGTGAAAATGTCATTGAATTAACAAGGTAACATTAATGTGACCCAGAGAAATGTTGTATTAATTGTGTGACGAGTCTTGTGTGAGCCGTTGGGGCAAGCTGGAGGATCTACCAGACTGTTTCATTTCCGGCAATTTCATGCTGTTTCTAGGAAGAGGATTCAGGGGTTTCATGCAGCTGAGGTGGGATTCTCTGGCTCCAAGGTGTAGAGTAAATTAGGGTGTTGGGGGGGGTGAGGGGGGGGTGTCTGTGTCTGATATGACTAATGGATGCTAATGGTTTGATAGCGTTGTCCCTGTGGCATCCCCTGGCTTGGAGCAGTTTGGACAGGCAGGATGCAAGGCCTCTGACTGTGTAATAGTCATGAATCTCAGGGGTTTTGAATCATGATGAAACAGTTGGTTAATAACAGAGAATAAAAGGGCAGTTTTGATAATCAATTAACTTAATCATTCAAGCTTCTTGAATATTAATATCTATATCATTGTAAATGATGGTCTGACAGAATAAGTAATTGGAAGATGTCACCTTGTGTTCAGGAAAATTTACCTTTTTTAGGTATCAACAGGCAATATGGGGAGGGAGAGGGGTGCAGGGGTGCAGTGGGGCTTGATCAGCTAAATCCAAAGGTGAGGTGGTTGTTGTTTTTATAGACTAACAGAAACTGCTTCCCATATGTTTGAGCAATGTCACCAGGTTACGTATCTTTAGAAATTACTGTGGGAAGCTTCATCTATGGGAAATGTCATTCTTAGTTGTGTCCCATAAAAGGCACTAAGTGTTTTTTCTCTTTGGCCGTGGCCACTTGGTCATTTGGCAGAACAGAAGGAAGGACCCCACAGACCATTTAGCAATGTAAGAGGAATGGTGTCTGCATGCTTTAGGGTTTTGGTAATCAACAGTTTCTCTCATCCAGCCCGATCTGGACATTGCAAGTGTCAAATTTTATACCTTTAAGAGCTTCTAGCCGTATAAACACATAGGTTTAAGAGGATGTTAGTTTTACATTTACCTTTAGTTATGACTTGTTTTATTAAATAAAATAAAATCTCTTTTCCTTCTTTCTCAGACAGGGAAATTTTTTGGAGAAGCAGAAGGAGCTGTAATGAGTAAGCTTCTGCAGATGGGCTCTTTCAAGAGGTAAGTATTTCAAACTGCATGTGTGTTTGTGTGTGTGTGGGTGTTCTGTATGAGTGTGTACTATACGTGCCAGCACAAGTGTACATATGAGTGTGTGTGTGTGTATGCATGTGTGCAAATGTATGTGCATAATATCAGGCAGGCCTCAGAATGAGAGCATGTCTCCCCTTGCGCTGACAGCTCTTAACTTGGCCAATCGTGTTGAGCTATTCAGCACTGAACTCCGACCCCTCGCTCAGCAGAGTTCTCCGTTAGGGGATTACAGCAAATCTTTTCCTGAAATGAAGGAATTAGGAGAAACTTGAAGTCACACACAGACACACACATGTAGACACATTCACTCATATACTGCTTGTTGTAAAGCGGTGTCTCCTGGAAAACGCCAGGAGCAGTGGGTGGCGTCTTTCTGCAATTAATTTGGAAATTTAACCCAGAAGGATAACTTTCCCAGTTTTAGAGAACAGAAATGCAGAGAAGCAGACACAGACAGACACATTGTAGGAGTCAAACTGGTACAGTCTAACACTTGTGGAATCTTTAGAGAATTTAGTTGCACAGTTAAATGTTAAATTTATGTTTGGACAGAAGCTTACAACCACATTTCCAACATTGCATCAGTACTGTACCCAGCATTCAGTTCTGCCTTCGGGATGTGGGTGAAGACATTGTAGCCATGCTGCCTCATTGCATAAAAATCACGAGTGACAAATCATCGCACAAGTAGACAACCACGCCTGTTTATCATAGGGATGAACCTCAAAAGCTGACAGCAAATGGTTTACAGACCCACTCATAAAAACAAAGAGGCCTACAAGTGCTTTCACTGAATCTTTAATGTCGGATGATGAGGGATTGTTTAAAATGAAGGATGACATATAATGAATGAATAATACGACTTGTGTCAGTGAAGTATTAGCATGATGAGTATTAGAGCTTATAGATCTTAACACTAATGAATCCAGTACGATCTGTCTTAACCCAGTGTCATCTGCAGAGAATTAATGTGCTATGTTGCAGCACAGTTTTTGTCTTGATTAAAAAACATTAAAGACATTTTAAAGTGCACCACTTAAAGTTGATACAAGCTGCCAGGTTGGATTTATCTGTCCACTTCAAGTCTGCAGATGAAGACAAATTATTTTGAGTTACTTTTGGTTTATACATCTTTTTAAAAAAGCAATGAAGGCCGCACTGTGACACACAGATATTGCATTGGTCTAAGTTAGCTGCTAACACCATTATGTGGCCTGGCTTAGCACTAATTGGTTCCTGGCGGTGTGTTGGAGCTGTGTGTCACCGGTACTGTGACTGAGGTTTGAACATCGCCCAGGGCTGCGGATAGACCGGGCCCACTCAGACATCACACACATGCTCACACACACGTTCTCACACACAAAGTATTGTCAAGTATATAGGAACTTATCCACAGGCTATGAGAAAGAGTGTCCAGTGTGTATGTGTGTGCGTGTATATGTGTGTTAGGAACCCCTTCAATAACCTCTCCTAGACAGACCCAGACCTCACACCCTCAGGCTCTACTAAGCCCTTAAATCCTCTGATATCCCCCCAATATCCCCAAATCATCTACACACACACACACCCACCTTCCTACATCACTTTGAGGAACCTCTCGGGAAGCTCTCGGCTTTCAGTTGCTTTCCTTTTCCCATTCTTGCCACGTCCATCCAATATATTATCCGTAGGTAAAGCGGCAGTTATAGCAGAGGTGGGATCTTTCCTTCCTGCTCCCACACAGCAGTCCAAAAGGCCCCGCAGGCATGTAATAGTAGATATAATGTGTGAATCAAGGCTTATATCACCTTATCCGGGCTATATCTTCCTGACGAATGCATTACTTATTAAAGTCAAATCTCTAAAAACATTCTACCTATCTTTACCTCATTTTATCTCTATGTCTCACTTTCTGTCCTCTCTTTTCTTATCTTTATCTACCCAGGGTCACGCTGTACGACTATCAGGCTTTATGTTGGGTTTATTCAGAGAGTAGTGACAGCGGACACACACTGTTGGATGTGAGTACTGCATTTCTTCACACTGTTCAACCTTGTTGTTTGTACACCATTCGTTGGGACTACGTATTATATATTTTATTGTGTCTGATTAGTATTCTCTCTGTCTTTTTTTAGCCTTACTTTGCTTTCTTCTCAGCCATGAAGTGGATCCTGACTGAGCTTGTCATGTAAGACTTGTGTGTGTATGAGAGTGTGTTCGGTATGTTTGTAATAGCACACACTCGCTGCATACATGTGTTTTTGAAGACTCGTACCGTGGCCTCTCCTGTCAGATGAGGTTAACTGTGTGTTTGTGACTATATATCAATAGTATGTTTGTTTACAAGCTCCTCCACATGTACGTCGACGTGACCATCAGTGATCATGAGCAGTAATGGCTACCTGATGTTTCCTGTAGTGCGGGTACTCCTATGATGGCACGTTGTGGTTGCAGAGTCTTCCTGGGTGGTCTCTTGTCGCCACAGTGCATTACGGGAGGGTTGAGTTGTCAGTGCTAATTTTACAGTTTGTCACAGTGCAGACAATTTTTATCTTTGTAACATAAGTTATTTTTAGATTTATGAGTTTTAATTTCCATGTATGCTTTTTTCATTTTATCAGGATAAAAAATAATAATTTTATACATATGAGTGACTGGACTAATGTATGTAGAGGTTATGAAGGTTCAAAACGTTGGAAACAGCCCTCACATTAAATACATATCACAAAAAACACACAGAACACCGAAAGTGATACATAGAGTAAGCCCTTAAAAGAGACATACAGAGATGTTATGTTAAGTGATCTGTAATGAGGAAATGCCAACATATTATCCTTTTTACAATTATTTATATTACTTTTCATGTTCAGATATATAACCCAATCATCTGTATACACAAAGTGATTAATTACAAGATTAAGAAAACACAACCTGTTTTACAAGACTTATGTATGACTCGTCGAACAGGTCATATAAGTCTTATTAAGAAAATTTTTATAGTAGTTCACACTTTACTCAGATGAAAGGAGTGATATTCAGCACCAACCTCTGTGGTCTGGAAGGCATACCAATTTTTTTTTTTTCTACAGCTATTTAACACTTTTCATGATTGTTTTGACTGAAAGAAGCAAATGAACATGAGGGGATTGTTTGTAACTAGGATAACTGGCAACGAGCAAAGATTCATAGCTGTGCTGGTTTTATTATCAACTGCTTTAAAATGAGTTTTTTCCTACTGTGGTTGTTGAGAAACATTTGTAGTGTGTGTAAAAAAAAAAGTTGGAATGCAATAGAAAGTGTTACAGTATTATATAAGCATGGGTTGAAGTGTGTTGTTATGAATGATATCTTCTCCATATTTAGATTCCTGGTCGAGTTCAACTTGTATAGCTGGTGGCACTCGGACCTTACAGCAAAAGGTAAGAACACACTCTTTGGTGATCTGCATGTTCCCTCTCTCTGTCTAAAGCAAACTCCCACATGCATACCCTCAGATAAAAATATACAGCTTATGCTATAATTGAAGTTATATACAAATTTTTTATTTTGGTGCATGCACACAACACTGCATAATAGGTAATTTAAAAGAATCTGAAATGGTTCATCATATTTTATTTTGAATGTCTGCTAAAGTTGAAAAGAGCACCAGTGGTCATATTATAGCAAGTGCAATAATTATGATACATTTACAAAAAGAATCAGGATTATCATTCTCTTTGCTAAACTTTGATTGCAGATTGTTATGATTTACACCAGTTTATACACACGTTTTTTATTTAAAACCCTTTTTTTTTTCTTTTTCACAAATATAGTTTTGCACTGCTGAAAAACAGATTATTTCCTCTTACTAGCAGCTGCCAAGTTTTGATTACAAATCAAATGGCTCTATGTATTTTAATGTGTGTATTCATAGTCTTCAATTTTACATTTAGAAACAGAAATGAAAATGGAAAAGAACGTTTTGGTAGCAATTTACAATACTACACACAGTTGTGAGTTGTTACTACTGAATGAGTGAGGAAAAAATCAGGAAAAACGTGACCTGATGATGAAAAGTTGCTGCAGAGTTTTTAAATTCACCAGTAAAAATATGAATTAATTATCAGGTCATTCCTAATGTTTCCTCACTTATTACTCACAATTTTGTTTACCGTATTGTACAAACATTTTTCATCACCAGATACAGCTATTCTCTTTTGACAAAGAACAAAGAAAACGAAGAAAAGAAACAATACAACAAAAAGGTTTTTATAACAGTAAACTTTCCTGTCTCACAAAGAAGAGAAAGGAAATTAAGTGATATGTCAATCGTACATCTGCCCATGAAAACATTAACATCTCTTAAAATAATGGTCAAAATGCTGTTTGATACTTTAATTTTTATATATAATAATGCACAGACGAAAACATACGCTGTTAGTTTGTCATACTAATGCTTGAGTTCACATGGGACGAAAGTTCACTGCATACAGAATAAACAACCAGTGTCCTCAGCACTGACCTTCTGTCTTCATCTTTGCCATCACCCCCCCATTTCCTCTCGGTCCGAGTCAGTGTGACCACTGGAAAAACAGAATAAAGAGGCACAATCCAAACCCTAAAAGTAAAAATGGCAGAACACAAGATTACCTCAAATGACCTCAGTGTGCGAGAGGGTGTGTGTTGTGTGTGTTGTGTGTGTTGTGTGTGTTGTGTGTGTTGTGTGTGTGTGTGTCTGTCTGCACACACACTTGTATTTGTTTGTGTGCGTAGAGGGGGTTACACTTGATGGTTTTATGATCTGTAAGGATGTGTGTCATAATTGTAGTGGTGGGAAGCAATATCCGCTTTGTAACAGGAGAAAAAAGGCTTCTCTCTCTCTTTCTCACTGTCTATCGCTCTTTCGCTCCCTCTCTGGTTTTATGTCTTTCCCTTCTTTTTCGGTCTCATTTTCTTCCTAGAAACACACACACATTCTCATATGATTACCGCCAAGCTATGAATGCTGTAATGACCTATGCTTTATGGAGTGTTAAATATTGTTTGCCTGTCTGAAATTAAAGTCTCATTAAGGAGCATCATATTGTAACATTAATTCTAGCCAAAACTAATGTGAAATGAAAATATTTCGTATGTGAATGCAAGAGAGAGGAGAGAGAGAGAAAGAACCACAAAATGAAAGTCTATAAAATGCTTTCCTTGCATACTCTTATCCCGAATGAAGTGAAGCTGGGCATCAGTGCTCGCCAAGCAGTCGAGACAATTTCACAGCTGGCTAGCCTCAGGTCTTAGCAGCACTTTCTATATCTTTTTACAATAGAGACACAGGCCTGTGACACACAGCTGAAACACCCCAATTTAGCAGCCCGTAACCCAATCTACACAGCCTCTGAAGCTGAACTAATCCCAGACGTTTATACATGTAGGCTGCGTTTCTCACATGCATACAGTTTATATACAACCGCACACACGCACACATTATTTCACACAATAATGCTGCACCACTGACACCCGGTAATTAAACTGCTTCATTCAAATCGCACACATAATCCACCATCTTTAGAAATATGTGTGTGTTGTAAAATATGTGCCACTGGCCACCCTTATAAGACTGAATTTGAAATATAAAGCATGTCTTTAAATGTTAATATTTGGTATTCAAAGTTGAATTATATTAGCTCTTGCTTTAATAAGCCTGCTTTAGAAATATTGACCCAAATAGAGGATTTTGCCTGTCTATGCTGTAGAATTGTTTCAAACCTCTGGGTGGCAGAAGAGTTCAAGCAATGTTGCATAAATGGCTGGGTTAGATTTACACTGGAAATATCTCCAACGGGACAAGAGGCAGCTCTGGTTCAGAAATGCTGCTTTCTTTCAAACTTGTATATTTGCAAGGATGTGGTGTATTTGCTTACAATTTATTTGTATTTAAAGTATTTTATAAAAATTTTATATATTACTTATATATGATGTTTTGTGACTTTCTCATTCTATTCCTTTCTTTCTTTTCTTTCTTTCTTTCTTTTCTTTTTTCTCTTCCTCCCTCCAGCTCAGAGGATGGGTCGGACCATGCAGGTACCGTGTGACACAGAGTACCCGGCCTTCATCTCCGAGAGAACCATCAAAGAGAACACAGGCAACCTTGACTGTGACGGCTGCATCAAGTATGACACACGCACACATGTGAACACACGTCAACAACAACAGTCTTAATATCTCTTTCCTGTTGAACAAAACCCATTTGATCAGCTGGCCACTCCGCTCCATAAAACAAGCTAACAATGAAAAATGAGTTCTCCTGTTAACTCTCATCTTGGTGAAATATTTTTATCTCTATAATCCCTGATAATAGAAAACACATTTCAATCATTTGTTGTCTGCTGAAAACACTTTTATCCAGGCAATCCATCAGAGACACGCAGAGACACTCACCCTCTACTCCGGGAGTTTGAAATACGAGGCATTTAGAGATGAGGGAGAGAGGTGGAAAAAAGGCTTCCTTTAAAAATGGGAAAATGAGTGTGGTCCCCATTAACAATTTGGGCTTTTCTGTTAGGCAATTGTGGGGTGTTCTCTCGATCCCTCCAAAGGGCCCTTCATTGCTCCCAGCTGTGGAACTGCCAGGGAAGCTCAGAACCCTGCGTTTGTGTGTGCGTGTGTGTGTGCGTGTGTGTGTGTGTGTGTGTGTGTTTTTCCTTGTGTATCTGCTGCTGGTATAGCCCCACAAGGTCAGCAGGGTAACCACTGCCCTGGGTGCAAGGAGTAAAATGCGGTTAGGGATGCAGTCAGACCCCAAACACACATACTGCATACACACACCAGCAGCCTCTCTCACACACTCGCACCCACCCACCCACGCACACATGACAGACGTGTGTTTCAGAGAAGAATGGCCTCATCTCCAATGATGACACCAGAATTGGGATTAGCGGGCAGGCCTGCGTGCTCTGAGCAGCATGTCGCCTTCAAATAAATCTTTTTTAAAGCACAATGAATTTGACAAAGTAAAATGGAGTTTTTATTTCGCTTATGTGGAATTTTATAGCTCATATTAGTAATAGAGGATATTGGTGATAAACATCTGTTTTACGTTACAGGCTGACTGAGGCCTTTCTCTCATATTTTCATCGGGACACGTGTGTGTGTTTTATGCTCTAGGAAATATACCCTAAGCTCTTGCCTGTTAAACCCCTCTTTACTGCATTATGTGAGCTTGTGTGTGCCTGCTTGTGTGTGCCTGTTTGTGTGTGTGTGTGTGTGTGTGTGCCTGTTTGTGTGTGTGTGTGTGTGTGTGTGTGTGTGTGTGTGTGTGTGTGTGTGTGTGTGTGTGTGTGTGTGCGCGCGTGCACGTGCGTGTGTCATTGCGGTATTTGTATTTGTCCATTACTTCCTGATGGGTGAGACAGACTGACAGAGCACAAGAAACAATGAAATCTAGTGAATGATATAATAGCTTAAGTGGCCCTATAGGATGACTTAACCTCCATTAATGCATTGCCAACTTCTCTAGACTGTAACATGAGATTTAGGACAAAGAGTGTGTCATGGCTCTAACCAGAGAAGGTCTTCAAGGGGACTATTAGCGACAATACTCATGGCCATATATCCTACTGCTCCACATGCTCTTTTTTTTTCTCTCGACCGTCCCAGACGAGCAATGTCCAAAAAGAGAGAGGTTCAAAGTTGCAGTGAGCTACAGCTTCAGCGCGACAGTCAGACATGTAGACATGTTTTCATCTGTTAGAGATTCTTGAAACACATCTGTCTCTTTGTCCCGGGTCATACTAGTAATCATTGTATTGCTGAGATAGTTGTGCTTATTATGTTGTCACACCCTTGTGCTATAAGGAAAGATGTGTTTCTTTAACACAGTTCATTTTTTTTCCTTTATAGCAATCTTTATTCAAGCAGCAATTATAATTTTTAAAGGTATTTTATGGATACTTAGCGATGTACGTTTGTATCTTAATATCAATTTTGTATATTTTTATTATAGACAAGTCTTGTGAATTACATTTTAAATTAAATTCACATTTTTACATGCTGAGTTCTAATAATCATGTTAATTTCTTTATGACTTTTGAAGCAAATAGTTCCTTTTTGACATTTTCTTTTTGAAATATTCCCCCCAAAAATTCTATTTTAAAATATATTTATGACTCATGTTATTCATCCAGAACCTTTTGTCATAAGCTTTAAGCTGCATTTGCGTGAGTCCACCCGTATATACTGTATTTTGGAATCGGGTAAGAAGCGTTAAAAAAGACTTAAAAACAAAATACTGGAATCATGATGCCCATTTTCCCCAAAAGTAATAAGAAAAATGGAAATAAAATGACAGCATTGCTCTGAAAATCTGCCCGTCTGTTTGTTGAGATTTTATTGGAGCATTTTCAACTCATTGAATTAGTAATTGTTCAATTACACACAGTAATTACTGGTTAAATTTCCCTACTGTGATGACAGATATTTCTGAAAACCATACACTGCATGCCGTTATGGTTATGGTTAGTTATGCAATGATTAAATCATTGGAAAAATTTGAACATTCTCTACAAGACACACACAATATAGTATTTAGCCAAAACTGAGCACAGAATGCTTTAAAGACAGAAAAACTTTGCTACTGTTCTGTATCAAAAGCAAAGCACGTGTAAAGAATAATATATTGTGAAATATTATCATCTTAGCTCGAAACTTTAAAATGAGCTTTAGTATGACACTGGAAAGATAAAACATTTTCCTTCATGATCAAAAAGTGTTGATAATCTGTGCTATTTTTTTATCAGTTTCAGCTGCAGACTGTGATATGTTTTGTTAGAACTTTGAAAAGAAGACACGTTCTGTCACCACTGCTTTGTGTGTGTCTACATAAGCTTTAGACTTTAGATCTATCTAACTCTCTTTTACTCTCTTATCTTTCTTTCTGTGGGTCTCTGTGTCACTTCACTGTCTCCTGCTGTCATTCTCTGTCTTTTCTCAGAGAAACTAATTGGATGTCTTTGTTGTCCATTTCTCTATTGGCCAAAATCAATTGAAGCCAGAGCACTAGGAGACCATGTCAAGAAGAAGACAGTCTTTGCGTCTGTGTGAGTGAGTGTGCATGAATGTCTGTCTCTGTGCCTATTGTGCACATCCTCGTGTGTGTCGAAGTGTGTGCATTCATATGCGGTGTAGTGCTTCCCATCCCAGCACCGGTTATGTTCAAGGCCAGCAGCTGTGCTGTCAGGATGTGTTTAAGTCTTTTCTCCAAAAACACTTGCTCTGCTTTCTATCAGCGGGCTGAGCTGGGCCAGCCTGGCGCTGGGCAGGGGTGAGCACGGATTATTTTAAACATCAGCAGATCCTAATTCGCCCTGATTGGAACTGGCCTGGCCTATTTGCTGGGATGATTTGATTGGGTTTGGTTGGTCACGGTGGGATAATTGTATTAGAGTGCGGTGGCTTGGTGCTACTCAGGGATTGGAGGCTGTTTGTGGTCAGATTAAATTGGTCATGGTATTGAGTTAGTAAGAATGGAGATATTCCTGTAGATGCTAGGTCTAGGTTTGATCAATCAGGTCTATCAAGCTCTTTGTCTGAGTGACTCTTTCACAAGAATTAAAAAAGCGTGTGCACATATGCAGTATTTCTGTGTGTTCAGTCACACGTGCATGTTCTCCTACGTGTCTGATAAATGCCTCACAGAGAACCTGATAAATCACCCTGCCGCGGCAAAAGAGAGGGAGGGAGAGAAGTGAGAGATAAAGAAAGAAAGGGTGACAGAAAGAAGAGATCATTTTTACGACCCCTCTTCTTCATAAAGCTTATTCATGGTCATAAATCACTGGCCAGGAGGCTGAGACGAGGCCTGATCTCTCAGGCCAGTAAAGCGCAGCCATGGGAAGCTATGAGCACAAAAGTGTGGTTCCCATTTGTCTCCCTTTGGAGTGTTTTATATTCGGCAACACTTCATTGGTGCTTGCCTTAGATAGGAAAAAACAAAGACAAAAGAGAAGGAAGGGAAGAGGAAGAGGAGAGGATGGAGTGAGTTAAAGAAGTATGTGTGTATACTTTATATGTGTCTGTTGGTGTGAGTCTGTCTGTGTCCATGTATGTTTATTGACAGCTGGCGGTGAGACAAGTCATCTTCTTGACATGGATCCAGTGGAGTCTCTTCAGTGCATCTCCCTTCCACCAGGGGAGAATGTGAACACTCATAACACAAATCCTCTGACACACATGGAAATTTACATCATACCCAAAGCGCCTTGTCTACTTGCCAATCCAACTCTCAATCCTCTCCCTTCTTCCTTCCTCATCTTTTTTTCTTTCTGGCTGTGTGTGCTGTGATTGGCAGGTCCTTTGTGATCCAGCAGATCCCCAGCAGTAATCTCTTCATGGTGGTGGTGGACAACAAGTGTGACTGCAGCATGTTTGAGCCAATCACCATGGACCCCATCGAAATCATGTATATCCTTTACTAGCCAGAAGAGATGGGGGTGATTAAGAACAGGACTACATTGTGGGAATTCTATTCTTTGGTACCCCAAATGAGAGAAAAGGATGATTTGAAAGCAAGAGAGCAACAATTAACAGGGGTGTGAAGATGAATAAAGCAACAGCTACAGTAAAACATCCACAAGCTTGACAGAAAACTTGATTAAAAGCCTAAAAAACTAATTCTAGTCCCAGCTCATATTTCAAATGGATGATGTATTTTGCATTAAACTGACTCAGAAGAAGATAAATGAATGAATAAATGAATTTATGGTTTTTGAGGGCAACTTTAATGTGTTATACAGCTGGCTTGTTGTAGTCTTTCCAGTTAGGCGTTAGGCTGTCCCCCCCACTGACAAAAATGACCTGCTTATGTTTTTTAATGGAGTCCATTCGCTTCCACCAATGTCACAGTACTGTAGTTACAGCCAGTGTGTCTCCATCGATGTTACAGGTATATAAATAGAATCTAAGTGAAGCCACTCTACCCTTCTGGCGCATAAAAGAAGTGAGAGCTTTGCAAGGGACAAGATCTGAAGCCGAGGCTTTGGAACAGCACTGTACTAGAGGTCTTTTTCACACTGTGTGTGTGTGTGTGTGTGTGTGTGTGTGTGTGTGTGTGTGTGTGTGTGTGTGTGTGTGTGTGTGTGTGTGTGTGTGTGTGTGTGTGTGTGTGTGTGTGTGTTGGACTGTGTTACACAACAGCCCCGCTGTGATGGGGTACTGATCAATAGCAGACACAGCTCAGAGTGGAGTCAGACTGAAAGAGCTCGTCACCACATACCCGAGCTGGGTTCTCCTACTGACATTTTATGCAGTACAGTCACGCTGTATATACATGTCCACCACTGTTTATTTTGTTGTGGAGTGCTTACTGTAGCATAAAGCCTGCTATTCTGTTGCTGTGCAACAAAAGAAAACTTATCAAACATTGCTCAGTGTGCTTTCCTTGTTCTTTTAGTATCACTGCATCCATAAGGAACTCGTTCCATGGTGCACTCAAAAACATGCCTTCCTTTCTATTATAAACAAGAAATACACTCCAGCAGGAAAACACCCTGCAGAGGGTACACATTGTCTGTTATTGCCTTAACTTCAGCTGCACATAATGAATCTCTTAAGTGCGAGAGATTGAAGATGCAAAAGGACAGGAGGCGCCCAGATACCTGTCACCCTTTTCACCCGGAGGTATCCGCTCTACAAATACGCATAAACACACAGATCACTATTATAGTACTTTATTCCATATTATATTCCCTGCTAATTCTGCTTTTGTGTTTTTTATGTCTCTTTATATTTTGCCCCCCTCTCTATCTAGGAGAACTCAATGGAGTGCGGAGGAGCTGTGGGTCTCACCCCGTCTCTCACAGCAACACTGATCTGTGTCCTCCTGGCACTGTTGCCTAGGTGACCAGAGCTGGCCACGCCTCTCCATCCAGAACTTGACTTGGATCGGCTTGGCTAGGCATGCAAAAGAATCGCAACGATGCCACAGAAAAAAACACTCCTGCCCCTTATAAAAATGCGCCCAATTCCAACTCACCACCTGCAAAGCCCCTAGCCCTGAGGTACCTCCCTACAAGGCACTTCGTTGAAAGGATTGATAATGGATAGCTTTCACAGCTGCTAAGTAGTGATCATTAAGGTGCTTTAGCAATATCACATGAGCTGCACAGAGAGGTTTTTGGAGAGATACAGAGTTTTTAACATAGTAATAATGCTAATAATGCATATAGTAGCTTAAAAACTGCACAAGTGGTCCAGTAAAATCCACTGACACTCACACCACTATGTTCACTCCTTTCAGGTAGCAGCTAAGGGCTGGGGTCTGTAGCTGGTCTTGGAACTGGGCATTAGAGCCACGTAACACCAGTGTGGAGAAAGACAGGTGCACCTTCCCCTGGCCCACTCTGACTTTTCATGGACAATAATGATTCTGAGGATAAAAAAATAATAATACTGAAGATGAAGATGATTATATGTGGCTGGGGTTGTAATGAAATGTTTGTCTAATGACCTTTTTTTTTCATGATGAGAAAAAAAAAGTTCTAGTCTATATACAGTATGAAGAAAAAAAAAGAGTTTTATTTATGATTTGCAAGTGGTACCCATAAACTGTGACTATGAGATTTTGAGTCCTCTGACGTGAGTGGTTGTTAATATTTGAGCTTTGCCTTATTGAACAATATTGGTCCTGTTTGTGTACTTTTGAAATAAAACGATGTTTAAAATGTATGCTCTTGTTTAAAGCCATGTTGTTGAAAGGCTCTTAGGGAAGCAGACTTTCAGTAGAACAATGGAGTTAATATGAAGCATCAGTTCTCATCCCTATAGATAGTTTTATTGTTGTTGGCAGATCTGACTGATTAATACAATATCTGCTCTTAGTGGTTAGCTGTGGGGAAATGTTTGGCTGCTTTTTGGCCTCCGCGTGAGCAGAAATGTGGCAGGCTTGTGTGTGCGTGTGCACATGCATCTATCTGTGTGTGTGCATCTGGTGCTTCGCTCTTCTGTCATTCATGTAAGCCTCTGCCCCAGAGCTCTGTCCCCCACACAGAGAGAGACAATAAAGACCATGACACTGGAATCGAAGGCCAACCGCAACATACATCTGTATTTGTTTAGGAAATAGACACAAACAATTCTTTGACATTTTCTGACAAACATACACATACATGCAAGAATAGGATTCCTGTGCCATGCCAGGCCAACTCTTATGTGTTTGTATGTGCGTACAGAGGAGCACAATGAGTAAAAAATAATAGAAGTTCTCATAGACCCTGTCACTGTCGGCAGGAGGCCACTCTGCTGTGGTCTCTGTGTCAACACCAGGGTCCCTGTAGTCAACAGCAGGACATGCTTCGTGTCTCTTTCTCCACCTCTAAAACAGCCAGATCTGCTAAGCCCCACTTCCTTTTCCACTGACAAGGTAATTCTCACCGTCCTAGTGGTCTAATCTGTTTCTCCACTATTTCACTGATCTTGTCCCTTGAGCAAAACTGTATGACTCTAATCATTTCCAGTTGATCTTGCTCTTCCTCTTTCTATGGTCCAAAGACTCCCTGACTTGCTGGTGGGTCATTTATCACTGCATAATGGGACTGGAGCTGTTTTGGGTCACGCATCCAATCCGGTCTGTGATTCCTTCCTGTTTGCCAGATGAGATATGGGAAAGTGCATCCAGTGAGTGTACAAAAGGCAGACTTGGGAAAGCAATCTTCTTTCTGGGGAGATGCCACAATGGCAGCCCTGCTGCCACCTCAGGGTCCTGTGAGTGATAAATGCTCATCTCTGTTTTCTGTAAGCAGTATTCCCCCATACACTGGTAGGGGAAACATAATCCATTCTAAAGGACACTCTTCCAACTATCCTACGGCACACTGCTCACACAGGTGAGAAGGAGATTCAGTTGTTTTTGTGTCACACAGTAATTGTGACACACTTAAAAAACAAAGAAAAAGGAAAATACTACAGAGAAAGAATAGGAGGTAAAATAAAAAAACAAAATGAAAGACTGAATGTGTTAAAATCTATTGGAAAAAAACATACATTTTTAAACATAAATACTGTATGTGTCTTTACAGGTTTGGCTCAGCACACAAGTGTTCTCATGGACAAGCCAGTTCACACCTATAACCCCAATCCATCAAAAAACACAAACTCAAAGACAGAGTGAGTGAGAGAAACATCACTGAAGGTATTTTATGAAGGCGTCCACATTCCTTCCCAATGATCCGATCTAAGCTGCTGTTTGTGGTGGGAAGGAACCCCTGAGAGAGGAGTCACTGATCACTGGGACACAATGCCCTTAAGGGGCCCTGCAGTTCAAAACACACCCATCCATCAGCACTCACACCACTCTAACCCTGTTTGCTCGCCATTATCTTGACTAGATGAGAAATCTGTTTTGCTAATATGCCGGAAGACAGATGACAGTGAATCACACACATATTCACACATTCAAACATTTGTGCAAATACCCTTAGTCTTTACCATGCATTAACAAATACAACATACACACACAGAGGCGGTCACACAGAGGGCAAAGCTTTTGGTGTTACCTCCGATGGAGTGGATAACATTGGTGGTTTGCATTGAGGACCACAGATATGTTTAAATGGAAATGATTCTGAGCAGCTGAACCACACCAGGACCACACACAGGCCCAGTGACCACAACACGCCACAGCTAAGACAAGCTGGGAAAACACACACATGATTCTGTCGGCATTCCACAGGGCAACTAGCAAAAATAAGAAACAATGAGAGAAAAGTAAGAGTATTTTCAGCATCTTGTATTTATTTTTTTAAACGGTGCTCCCTATGCTAAGTAGGTACATTTATTCTTTATGAATTTTGCATTTTCAGCCCCCCTGTTGCCCATTTTTTTTAACATAATTTTCATCCCTTGTCCTCTACGCAGCTTGTCCTCAGATCTGCAACTATTTACCTCTTTCTCCAACCTCCTTTACCTTTTTTTCCTGCTGCTCTGGCCACATGCTCACTGGCTGTAGTGGTGATAATGACCAGACCTCTCGACTACCTCACCCACACATGCACATACCCCCCCACCACACACACACACACACACACAAACACACACACACATCAGAGACGAAATCGGACCAAACCCCAAAGACAAATTTGTTCCTGCGTGTGCCAGGAGACGCACTGCTGCCAAGGTTGAGAGGTGCCAGCTGAAAACATACACTCTTAACACACACACACACACTCATACACAGAGTTAGTTGTGTACCCCATGCTGTGACAGGAAGAAAAGCCTTCAGTACTTATGGACCTCTTGGTGAGCTTGAGGACCTGACAGCCAGCTGTACTAATACTGTCTGTGTACGTGTGCGTGCATGCATGTGTGGACCTGAGCATCATTACACATTAATCAATAGTGGACCGGCAAGCCAACATAGGACATTTTGGAGGTCCACAGTTGGTAATGCTTTAAATCATTCT